ATAAAATATAAAATGAATTTAACAGTCATAGTTCAGACAAGGAGGTTATATCTCAGGAGATTCATGGTTTCTTGATTTTTTTTCCTGGTGTTCAGTCTTGGCTTAACATCAGTCTTTTTTTGATGGGTTGTCACTGCAACAGACTCACAGAATAGCTATGTTTATAAAAGCACCAAAGGGAAGTTATCTGGTTACAAAAAAGAAAGATAACTCTTCTAAACATGCAGTGTACAAAAAAGAATGAACAAAAGTGGATTTAGGAGACTCCAAAGGGAAATTGCTGTTAGGTGTCTAGCATAAGCAAAAGTAAAGATGATTTCTGTTATCAAACTGAACAGAGAGCCATACCTAAGATTGTTTGAGCATTAAAAATGGAGTCTTATGGCTTTTTTACCTCAAGTTTTTATTCTCTTTTTTGGCTAAAGCTACTGAAGCAAAAAGACTTTAGAAGCTTAAAATCTGTTTTACCTTCACATTGATCTGTTACTTCACATACATTTTCTTGGAAACATTGGACTTTATCACAAAAGCACCTTTTCATTTCTTTCCATATTAAAGCATTCTTTAGATAAAGTCATTATATTTTACAGTATTCTGATTTTCTGTATATACATACACAACTTAAGCACTGAAGCAAGAATATAGTAAACTGACACTAAACACCTACCTTCACATGAATTTACCTCAGTAATTTAAATAAAAGCCATTTGGAGTCCCAATTTTCATGACATTTATATCAACTATTTTATATGGTATACATAATTATCCAACGAATATCAGAATCATAGTTGAATCTTAAAATCTATAATGGTTTTCCTCATTGAGCAAAACTATCCCATTTTATCAGAGACATTTAGCCATCTCTATAGATTTGAATTTGCTTTCTAGTCTTTCTTAAGAGAAGCCTCATCATAAATAAGAATCTAGCCATTCCGTTGGCATTCTCAGCAGGTAAGACCAAGCAGGCTGGAGTGGCTACTTCCTTCCACACAGACCTAAGATGAGTAACTTGTCAAAATGTAACCAGATATTTGTCCTTAACTGTTGCTCATAAAGTCTGCAAACTCCTATGATGTTCAATAGTCTTTTTGGTTGTCATTAGCTATCATTTTTTATTTTAGGGTAGAGATGTTTTGTTGACTGAATTTATAAGAAATACTATTACATTGAATGATACAATAGAATCAATTTTTAGAAAAATCCCCTAAGTACATATAAGAGCAATAAATGGGAATTGACGCCTGTCATCATAAATAGAAAAGTAGACTGGCATAGTCCGAGCAAGTATTTTAGTAAAATTATGCCAAACTCTTATTCTTATGTGGGAATCATTACTTTAACATTTTATGGATATCATTTTCTCCAAATTGTATTTTCTGTGTCAGCACAACTTGGGATTCTAAATTTTCATCTTAAGTACTTTCATTAGTACCAGTAGTATAGTAACTAGTGGAAATGGAAAATAATATCCATTTCATTTTGAAGTTTTCTATTCATTTAATTTAGTAATATAAGCATCCTTACCTTAAACTACTATCTTTAGCAAAGATATTTTTAGTTCAAATCAGTTTAGCAAATATTTATCCTGTAGTTACTAAAAATCAGAATTCTATTGAGCATGGAAGTTATCAACATGAAGCAAATAAATGTAAGAAAAGTGAACAATATTTTTCTCATACATACTGATGGGAACTTAACAGTGAAGTCTTTCAGGAAAACAATTTTGGGGTTATATCTTAAAAACCTTAACACTGTTTGATACAGCAATTCCACAAGTTTAGCTTAAAATGCAGGCACAAAATATTTATTATATGGCACATTTATAGTTCCCCTTTAAATGCAAATGTCAATATGTTATTTTTAATTTTGGTATTCTTTTCTTTTGGGGTTCATATATGCAACATGGCTGTAAAACAGAAAATTTACTGAGGCACCGAGTAGTTTAGAGGACTATTCCAGCGAGGCCCTCAAAGAGTTACTGGGAAGAAATTCTAAAAGTCTGTAAAGAGATGAAAAATTTTGTAGGAAATAGAGGGAAAATATCATGGTCATAAGATGATGGGGGGGAAAACCTTCCTCCCCCACTCACAGATGAGCTGTAGGGTCACAGTATATAAGGATCACATGCATCTGAGGTATCCATGTCTACACTGCAGTTCACAGATCACTAAATCACATGAAATATAACAGCTCCAAGATTACAGCATAAACATTAAGAAGAAATTCTGTATTTATCAGCCAATCCAAAAGAAAAGACTCTCTGACAAATTCAGGACTGGTAATCAAGTTTTAAGGAAGCAGTTGCCATCTTTCTATATCTACCAGAGAACATTTTCTTTTCATATTGAGTGCCATACTATCAAATTTGTAAGGACAGTTATACATTTATTGCAAACATTGTCAGGAGTGTTGGGTGGAGTAGGGAAGAGTAGTGGAAGGACAGTAACAGAAGGAACAATAAGAAGGAATCAGCTAATTCCAGAAGCCAGTTATATTTGTCAAAACCCACAGAACTATATACTAAAAAAGGTGCATTTTACTGTATGTAAATTATACTTCAAAACTGGCTTAAAAAATAAAAATGAAGTCAATCACCTGGGAGACATTTGGCTTAGAAATCATCAACTTCTTGAAAATTCTAGTTCAACTGACTAAGATTAAAATTAAACTTGCAGCAAATACAGTGAAACAATTTAAAATTTTGATGATTTTGAAGTTCAAATATTCTAACCAAAATGTTCTGTTTTGGTATGTGGGGCATAATTTTTGTCCAACTAAAGCTTAATTTGGTTATACTTGTTGGTTGCTAAATGTTGCTAAGACAAAGTTGGCCTATAAAGCCTGTTAGTTAACTAATTAAGCATTGCATAAAATTAATTTAAACAAGCTCCTAAACTCAAAGGCAAAATTAGGAGAGCTTTTTTTCCGAAAAGTAAAGTGAACAAATTTTTTCACAATCAGGGTAAATATTAGACATGATTTTGTTGTTATTGTTGCTGTTATTTGTTTTCTGGTGCCTTTTCACTTTTACAGATGCAATATTCACTCCACCACTTTTCTTTCTTTCTCATGGGAAAGACATTAGAGCCCATCTGGTTGAATAAAACTAAAATAAACAGACACCACCTTTATGAGCAGTATGGAAGAGGAGACTGCTAGAATGATTCCTCAGCTGAAAAATCCCATAGCTACAGTTGAAAGTTAAGAAAATTCAGCTACTTTGATAGTGCCTGAATCCTGGAAATCTAATATAAGGATTTTACAAAAGAAAATGTTATTAAAGTTTTTTATTGAGTTTAGGATTAAAATAAGCCTGTACAGGAAAAGTTAACGATTTATAAGAATGATACCTAATTATATTCTAAAGTTCTTTCTCTTTAAAAACTTCCATTAAGTACCAATTCCTTGAAAGACATGAGCTCTCAAAACTCACTCATGAAGAAATAGATAACATTCAGAGTCCTACAGAGTCCTATTAAAAAATTATATATGTAGTTAAAAACTTTCCATCAAGCAAAACTCCAGGCCCAGATGATTTCACTGGTAAATTCTACCAAATATATTTAAGGAAGAAATTATTCCAATCCTACACATTCTTTTCTGGAAAAATAAATGCGGAGGGAACACTTCCCTACTAATTTTATGAGACCAGTATTACCAGACATATTATAAGAAAAGAGAAATGGAAACCAACATCCCTCAAGGGCATGAACACATATTATCAACATATTCCAGACACATTAAATATTCTTCAAAAATCCAGTTTCGGAAACATCATAATAATCCATGGCATTAAGTATACCTTAATTATTTTTTCCTACTATTGGAGGGTGTCATAAAGGAACCGATCATTTCCTCTTACAAAAGTCTGTGTTCTTTTTCATTGAGGGGTAAGACAGATTCTGAGTTGGTTCTCACTCCTGGGAATTTGTAATTGAAAAACTAAGCAAATTGAGTTACTTAGCCTTGGGTGCTGGGAAACCTGTCAGGGGTCTAGGAAGAGCCATTTTGGAGTTGTATGTGGTAATGGGCAAAGCTTCACAGAAAAGCTAGAAAATGGATTCAAAAAGCTGTTAAGTTTTTACAACCATATTTTAACTATTATCCTGAATGCATACACAGGTTTCTGGAGCAAAGAAGTCAATTCCGTTTAAAATCCATGTAAAGACAAGAGATCTTTTGGTATCAGAGACAGATATGGAGAACACACATGTGCTGAATACAAATAGTTTTTAGTTTTCTGTTTAGTTTTATGGGGACCAGTTGTACTACCCACTCTTGGATTCCAAAAAATAACTATAAATGCCTATACCAATCACTTTCCCTCCTTACTTGAGCTCCTTACAGTAGGTTTTAGATGCATGAAGTAAAATTACTCCAAAAAAGCATATATATTTAGGTTTTTTCTAATTTTTCACTAAACTAAGATGTATTTTAAATACATCTATTTAAAGGAGAATAGTCTGTGTATTAAATCGTATAGACTCTTAATTTCTCTAGGAAGGTTGCATAAAAAATTACACTCCTATAGAATGTATAAGCACTCATTTTACCATACAATCTCCAACACTGAGTATCAACACTTTTAAAACTTTGCTCATCTGTTAAGTTGTAAAAAATGGTGTCTTGATGCATAAGTTTGCATTTCTACACCTAAAAGTAAAGCTAAGTATTATCACACAGTGATTTTTTACATATACTAGAATCTATTCCTTGCCTTATTGTGAAAGACCCGTTAATTTTTATACTTACAACACATTGTTTTTATTGTAGTTTTGTATTATAACATGCCTTCATATATAGTGGTACATTCCCTCCTCACTTATTTTGCAAAATTTTGCTGGCTAGTATCATGATTTTATTTTCCAAAATGAACATCAGGTAAATTTTATACTTTTTTTGTCTTCAAAAAAATATAATAATGGGGCCTAGAATGTAATTACATTAAACATACAAATTAAATTGGGAATAATTCAACGTGTTCTGGAGCCAGCTCTTACCAGACTGGGGAAGCTGATTGTTACATATTCCAGAATTTTGCCAGGTAATTTATACCTCTTGGGATCTTGAAGTAGGCCATGGCAGCAGTTTTTACACCATGGAAATCAGAAATGACAACTCAATAAAATGTGGTATGCTGGATGGGATCCTGAAACAGAAAGAGAAACAAATTAAATGCAAATAAAGTATAACTGTATTGGTTTGTTAGTTGTGACAAATATACCACAGTAATACAAGATATCAAAAATAGGAGAAATTGAGTTTGGGATATACAAGAATTCTGTCCTATTATATCTCTGTAACTTTTATGTAAATATAGAATTATTCTAAAATAAAAAAAAATGTTTACATTTTTTAAAATATGACCTCAACTGAGTTTTAAAACATAAAATTTATGAGGAATACCATCAGACAAATGCAAAAAATGATACCTTTTACAAGACAACTAAGTAAATCCCCTCAAACAACTTAATACCATAAAAAAAAAACTGTGAGGACCATTCTATCAAATGAAACTTAAAAGACATTATAACTATGCAATATGTGGCCCATCTATAAAAGCCATTTTGAGAACAATTGGAAAATTTTCATATGTGCTAGATATTAACTGATAAGGGAATTATTTTAACTCTGTTAGGTCTGATAATAGTATTGTGACTATGTAGAAAATTGTCTATTTTTGAAGATTTGTGTTTAAATACTAAGGGTAGAATGTCATGATATCCATAGTTTACTTTAAAATTATTCAGCAGAAATAGATAATGCAAAAATATGAGTGTTTATTTTGTTGCTCTCCAGTCCTTTCTATAGTTTTAAATTCTCTATAATTCTCCACTTCTCAGAAACTATTACAGAAATATGCAATGGTTTTACACATTAATAAGGAGTGGTCACAGTAGAAGAGAAGTGGCAGAGTGTGCATTTCGACAGGTGGCACACTGGCCTAAGGCAGTGCTCTTGGTCTATGGACATCCACCTAACTCGATAGCACAGAGCTACAATGCTGACTCCCAAACCCAGGACCTTACAAGACCTTGGGGGATAGGCCCACTGAACCTCTGCACCACAGTGGGCACCAGCATCATGAAAGCAGTCATCTCACTGAGAAAACGTATCCAATTTATACCAACTACAGACATATGAACAGTGAGGACAGAATAAAGGAAGCATGAGACACAGCAGTAGTGCTAAGACAGCATGTGGGCCAAAGCACCTTTTTCTAAAAGCCAAGATATGTCATCTCCCCCTGCACCAAGATCCCACCTTGGGAAGAAGAGGTAGAGGGGGAAGAAAAAACTTATCAAAAAGTCTCCGAACAATAAATGCTGGCGTGGATGCGGAGAGAGAGGAACACTCCTACACTGCTGGTGGGACTGCAAACTAGTTCAACCTCTGTGGAAAGCAATATGGAGATACCTTAAAGCGATACAAGTGAATCTACCATTTGATCCAGCAATCCCATTGCTGGGCATCTACCCAAAAGATCCAATGACACTCTACAAAAAAGACACCTGCACTCGAATGTTTATAGCAGCACAATTCATAATTGCAAGGCTGTGGAAACAGCCCAAGTGCCCATCAATCCAAGAATGGATTAATAAAATGTGGTATATGTATACCATGGAGTACTATTCAGCTCTAAGAAACAATGGTGACATAGCACATCTTATATTTTCCTGGTTAGAGCTGGAACCCATACTATTAAGTGAAGTTTCCCAAGAATGGAAAAACAAGCACCACATATACTCACCAGCAAATTGGTATTAACTGAGTAGCACCTAAGTGGTCACATAGGTACTACAGTAATAGGGTATTGGGCAGAGAGGAGGGGGGAGGAGGGCGGGTATATACATATATAATAAGTGAGATGTGCACCATCTGGGGGATGGTCATGCTGGAGACTCAGACTTGTAGGGGGAGGGGGGAAACAGGCATTTATTGAAACCTTAAAATCTGTACCCCCATAATATGCTGAAATTAAAAAAAGAGAGATAAATAAGAAAGTAAAATAGATAAGAAAATAAATAATATAGAAAATAAATAAATGAATGGATAAATAAGCAAATAGATTGATAAAGTATGACAGAATAGAATAAAATAGATGCTATGAAATAAAAAAAGAGATAGGTTTTTAATAAGAAGGTACTGAATTATGTTTATTTGAAAAATATACAATTTTTCCACTACCAGAAGGTATGGTAGAATCCATAGCAAGTTAAATGAATGAAGAAAATAATGATTTGTATATATCTCAGTTAAAGTGTACATTTTGATCCCACTACATAAAATTGTAACGTTTATTGAAGAGAGTCAGAGAATACACAATTTCTACTTTAAGGATTGGGTAATGCTTTATTTGGCCCAAAATATGATCATATTAATTTTCTTGATGCTTGCAACAAAGAGACATTGGTACCTCATTGAGTTGAAAGTTTGTCACATGTACCTTTTAAATCAAACAATCATTGTTTGCAGTCTCTAGGTTATTGAGTTTCATTTGCTTTCTCTGCAAAAGGGAGTAAGAAATAGCAAAGTCCAGAGTATTAAAACCCTACACTCCAGAATCAGATGCACTTGAGTTTGAAATCCACCTCTACTACTTCCTAGTTTTTGACCCTTGGAGTACTACTTAAAATCTCCATCACTAACTCCATAGTTTTCTTATCTATAAAATGAGAAAAATAGTATGTACCTCAGCATCCTTGGAGGATTAAATATTCATGCATATAAAACTCTTGGCCTATAGTTTCATGCTCAATAAACTACAAGCTTGTTATAAAATCAATGTACAGAAATAAGTAGCATTCCTATATGCCATCAGTAGTCAAACTGAGAACCGAATCAAAGGCTCAATACTCTTAGCAATAGAAACAAAGAAAATAAAATGCCTAAGAATATATTTAATCTAAGGAGGTAAAAGACCTCTACAGGAAGAACTATGAAACACTGAGGAAGGAAATACTAGGAGACATAAACAGATAGAAAACCATACCATGTTCATAGGTCAGCAGAATCAACATTGTTAAAATATCTATATTAACCAAAGCAATCTACAGATAGAATGCAATCCCTATTAAAATATCAACATCATTTTTCACAGATCTAGAACAAATAATTCTATGCTTCATATGGAACCAGAGAAAACCCCGGATAGCAAAAGCAATCTTAAGCAAAGAGAACAAACTGGGAGGCATCAATTTCCCAGACTTCAAGCTATACTACAAGGCTATAGTAACTAAAACACCATTAAACTTAATGGTGTTTTAACCATTAGATTTAAACACCATTAGACTTAACTTAAACACCATTAGACAAGAACAGAGACATAGACTAATGGAACAGAACTGAGAACCCAGATACAAAATCATCCTCATATAGCCATCTAATCTTTGACAAAGTAGACAAAAACATACACCAAGGAAAAAAATCCTTATCTAATAAATGGTGCTTGAAAAATTGGATAGCCACATGTGGACGACTGAAACAGGATCTGCACCTTTCACCTCTCACAAAAATCAACTCACATTGGATAACAGACTTAAACCTAAGGCATGAAACCATAACAATTCTAGAAGAAAATGTTGGACAAATGTCTCTTACAGACATTGGCCTAGGCAAAGAATTTATGAAGAAGACCCCAAAGGCAGTCACAGCAACAACAAAAATAAATAAATGGGACCTGACCAAATCAAAAAGCTTCTGCACAGCCAAGGAAACTACCATGAGAGCAAACAGACAATCTACAGAATGGGAGAAAATATTCACATGCTACATACCCAATAAAGGGCTGATAACTAGAATCTATATAGAACTCAGGAAAATCAGGAAGAAAAAAAATCAAACAACCCTATCAAAAAGTGGGCAAAGGACATAAACAGAAACTTCAAAACAAGATGGACTAATGGCCAACAACCATATGAAAAAATGCTCAACATCTCCAATCATTAGGGAAATGCAAATCAAAACCACAATAATGAGAACGGTCTTTATCAAAAACTCCCAAAACAATAAGTGTTGGCGTGCATGCGGAGAGATAGGAACATTCATACATTGCTGATGGGACTGCAAACTAGTACAACCTCTGTGGAAAGTAATATGGAAATACCTCAGAGAGCTACAAGTAGAACTACCATTTGATCCAGCAATCCCATTACTGGGCATCTACCCAAAGGAAAAAAAGACATTCTATAAAAAAGACATCTGCACTAGAATATTTATAGCAGCACAATTCACAATTGCAAAGATGTGGAAACAACCCAAGTGCCCATCAATACATGAGTGGATTAATAAAATGTGGTATATATGTATACCATGGAGTTCTATTCAGCCACAAGAAACAATAGTGATATAACACCTCTTATATTATCCTGGTTAGAGCTAGAGCCCATTCTTCTAAGTGAAGTATCACAAGAATGGAAAAATAAGCACCACATGTACTCACCAGAAAACTGGTATTAACTGATCGACATTTATGTGCACAAATAGTAGTAACATTCATCCAGTGTCTTGGAGGTGGGAGGCAGGATGAGGGGATGGGTATATTCACACCAAATGGGTGTGGTGCACACTGTCTGGGGTATGGACACACTTGAAGCTCTGACTCAAGTGGGGCAAAGGCAATATATGTAACCTAAACATTTGTATCCCCATAATATGCTGAAATAAATATAAATAAATAAATTACATGTCATTTTCCACAATAACTGTGTTTTTTATTTCTCATTTTATAACTAACAGTTTGGATTTTTAGATTTATACAATTGTATCTTTTTCTGCACATTTAATTACATGGCCCATGTGTTACTGTATATACTATTCTCCATAAATATTATATTAATTTTATTTTGTTTGAATTTAATATCACACCAGCTTTATTTCCTGTTTTCTAAACAAATCTTTGTCTATTCTCATTTTTACCTTAAAAAATGTTTTGCTGGGCAATATAAGTAACATTAACACTTGTACCCTCATAATATGCTAAAATAAAATTTAAAAAAATTATTTTGCTATTTTATTTATTTATTTATTTATTTTATTTATTTATTTTTTGAGACAGAGTCTCACTTTGTTGCCCCGGCTAGAGTGAGTGCCATGGCATCAGCCTAGCTCACAGCAACCTCAAACTCCTGGGCTCAAGCGATCTT